TCTGGTTTGTTGGTGCGCTGGTGCGTGGAGGCAGGCGTGGGCTCCTCTGTGGGACAGGCGTATGACCCAAATCCAGGCCGGCGCGCCGCTGCACTAGTATTTTTAAAACAGACACAAAAATGGGCGCAGTCGTTACGTCCGGATAGGAATAGACTGAACGTACGTCAGATAAATTGAGCTGTGTTACAGCTGTTTAGTACATCCCGTAGGAACCTAAGGGCGGAATGCGGATGTCGTGATTACATCCCGATTATCTGTCGAGACGATGTCTAGTACACGAGTAACGCAAGCGAATGTCATGTTTCTTATAGTGCATTACTGTTACATACAAATATATTGTCATGACAATTTCTGACAAGGAAATAATGTAAAATCCACCTGGATCTTTATCTATTGGTTGCTATGTCCAGAACAGCAACTAACCACCGTTTTACCAAAGTTTGTATTGTATTAGCTTTCTATCGCAATAGCAATTAGTAAATAGTTGGCAAGTCTTTCATCGTCAGTCTTACAATGTCCATGTCATGTGAGGAAGTCTCCGGCCCGTGTCGCACGCTGTGCTGCGACGGAGGCACATCCCTTCTGTATGTAACACTGTGTATTCGTTATAGGTCACAAGTTAGGACACCTCCCACTTCCGATACGATAAACCGGTATAACATGTACAATATATCAATTTTACTTAAAATTATTCAATTAAAAATAATTGAAACTGATTAAGACTAAATTAAAAAAATCTATATGAAAGGTAAGCTAGTGTAAATATAGACGTGTGTGAATGCGTAAACTATGTAAATATATCTTATAAAAATATGAAAGATTTTGAATAGTGTAGTGTAGTGAGATGGAAAGGTGCGCAGAAATTCCTTTCGATTTGACCTCGCGGTGGCAAGGCCCCGAGCGGCGGCGGCCTCTGGCGGCGCCGGAGAAAGTGACAGATTCGAGTGGCCTCAGCTGATAGGGTTCTTTTGTGAATGGACAGTTTTCGGAGCAAGCCACCGATACTGGGTGTGGTGTAAATGATTAACATCGGACGTGAACTGGTTCCGATACTACTTTCGCAAATTATAAAAAACTTGTACATACTATCTCATACTTGCAGTGAACATTGCACAAGTATGCCAATAAAATTGATAACTGAGTTTGTTTCTAAGAATGTTAACTATTTTCAACAATTATCAGGCAATTTATGAAAGTAGCTTTAACAATGTCATTTTGTATGTAAATTATATTTATTACAACTTTCGTATTTTGATCGTTTCCTTATTTTGTCGCAAGGAGGCTACAAAATGCAGTGTAGGTGTAGGGCGAGGCGAGACATGGGCCAGACATTGGGTCATCACACCGGGTCAGCGGCTCAGCCACGTGCCGCAGGGCTTTGACCTCGCCCCACCTCCCCGCGACCCAAATCACTTCCCCTCTCGCACCCTCGCACCCACATCGCCCTCAAAATTCGCCAATAAAATTTGCTGACTTGTGCTTCACATTTAGCACATCTTATGATATAACATTTTTAGACAAAGTAAAAAATAGCAAATATCTATAACAGATTGCAATAAATAAGTTGTGATTTTCAAAGAATTGAGTTTGAAATCTAAGGTTGTGGGCCAAGTCCACTGATCAATGGTAAGGTTGATTGCATGGTGATGTGATGTGTTGCAGGTTGCACGAGGAGATCGAGCACTTCTACATGTACATGTCGCCCTCGGAGACGGAGCACCTAGTGCGCAGTACGGTGGTGACGCGAATCCGCAGCGCCATCCTCGCGCTATGGCCTCAAGCGCGCGTCGAGGTGTTCGGCTCCTTCCGCACCGGACTCTATCTGCCCACTAGTGACATAGACCTCGTGGTCATCGGTAAGTACCTCAAAACACACATGCTTTACTCCAATCACTAGTTTATGTTATTGTATCACTAAGTTAATGGCTTTAAAGAACACGAACCGTTTTGTTGATAACAAAATTATTCTTAAACATTTGTTTATCAAAAAATAAAGTATTTGTTGTAAGAACATAGTAGTGATAACTTATCATGCAGCACGTTTGTTTTAAATATGAAGACGGTGTGTCAACTTATCGTCCTAGCAACCAGAGTTACGATGATATGTGAAAGAGATCTTTTTGCCTAATAGGCACGCTAGTTTTAAAGAATAAATACATTTTTAGTTTTTTTTTACTATAAGCACAAGACTTGAGGATAAAATTTGTATTAGTTTGTTCGCTTTTACTAGTATATGTTGGAAATATGAAAGAAATTGAATTAGGAGAAACTGTCAAATGTATTACATTTGTAATAATGAGTGAACAGCGAGCCGTGACCTCCCGCTCCGCTGACATAATTGCGGTATCTTATCGCGGCAGAGTCGGCAGCCGAATGTGCTGCACCTATCTAATCGCGCGCCAACAACCGATACCTTACTCTGCCTTCTTGCACACATTATACTAAAAAATCAATTAATGAACCTTTTAGCTTAAAGAATGGTATTTGAAATTCAGAATTTGTATGTTATATTGTCAATATATTTTTGGTTATTAGTACGAGTAATACGCTATATTTATACAATGGCGTGTATTGAGTAGAGTACGTCATTGTTCATGTCAATGATTGCGCAAGC